CGGGAACCTCCCATTTTAAACGACAATTTGCCGTCTTGTGATGAACAAAGTTATGATAAGAATTCTCTCTGTATGTACACCAGTGTCCTAGAATGCACTGGTTTTTTCCACGTCCAGGTGGAATACGCTTTCACGCCCACTCCATATCGAGGATACGGTGTGCAGCTATGGCCTGACTTCGCTGTTATCTTGAAAGCCTCCAATAATCTGAACTGTTTCAGGAATTGGAACAGGATCGCCATATGGGTCTCCCTGAAGTCGAAGATCGTACTTGTGACGCTGCTCCTCAGATCATTGGCGATCTTCGTGATCTTGAGCTCAATGAACACGACGACATCCATGTTGATGTCAAGGTAGGGTTTATTAAGGGGGGGGGGCTATTTCCTCGAAGTGAGCATCGTTATATATGCTATTCCTGTTCCAGGTGACCCCAGTGAACGATCCAACAATGAAAGTTGAATGGTTTGTGAATGGCCATCCGTTGATTACCGGCAGTCGTGTGAAAACGCTCAACGAATTCGGATTTATCGCTTTGGATGTGAAAGTGAGCACAGCGTCATCTCGCCCTGGCTAGCCCTAGCCCTAATTTTCATCTCATTGTAGGGCGCCATCGCTGAAGATTCGGGAACATACTCCCTCAAAGTCTCAAACGCCCTTGGTGAAGCCATCCGCCAGTGCAACATCAACGTTAAACGTGAGTTCATACGGTACTTTCGAATTTACGTGAAATCACGCGAAATAGGTTTTTAGCCGCCAAGGAAGTCGTTCTCGATACTCACCACGAAGAATCGCTTGACAAGATCAACTATCTGGAGAACCTTGACAAATATGGACGACGTGAGATCGAGGATCATGGCCCAGATATGGCTCCAGTGTTCGTCGCACCCCTCGAGGCAGATATGGGCGAGGTGGGACTAGATTGAGTTTTATGGATGGAAATAAAGCAAATCATAGTCAGTCACAATGAAGAAGACTGGTCGTTCAGTACCACCCGTTACCACCTCCTCTTGTATTACGACCCCTCAATGTGATCTTTTACCTGCAATTTCAAGAAGAAAAAAGCATCCAAGAAAGAGACAGAGAAGCGGATAAGCGGATGGATATTTCTATTATCAGAAGATTTACCTTTTTACACTAGTACAGATCCATCTGAGCAGGCTAAAGAGTCAGCTGGACTGATAGGACCTCGTGAAGGATTCTATTACGACCCCCTCCCCTCACTGAGGACTCCTTACGGTTTGAGGGCGCAGTTCGGCTTGGTGGGGCACCCACCACTCACGAAACTCACACAGGTCATCTAGCAAGAACACTTCCTGAAACTGGAGTGGCTCACTTGTATCAGTTCGCAGCTTAAAAAGACTTC